AAAACCAACTTTTCTCAATGGTAGGAAAACATATGAAACTCAATACCATATGTTCATATATCAGGCCCAGCCATCTAAAAACATATATCATAAATAAATAAATACCGTTGGCTCCTCATTTTCTTCCTGTCAAGGCACCACTAGTTATGGAGGCCCTCAAACTCTCTTTTCCTCTTATTAGAATTTCGAATCAGAAGTGTCTTCTATAATGTGAATTTAATACAGGCCCTCCATAAGGTATTTACATTTTAAGCCTCTAATCTATTCCTCCGCCCACGAGATATTTGTTGAGCTTTTGGCACAGAGCTGGTTTCTGTGAAAGACATAAGATAAATTAGATATGGAAACTGCCTTTTAAAATCACATGAATTGTCTGTTGTTAACCATGATCTCAAATGTAGAAAGTGAAGTGTACCATGAGAAATGGTGGTGTCCCAGAGTCTGGGGAGAAAGAGATGACATCTCAAGCTCTAAGTGGGAAAGTATTACGGAAGAAATGGAATTTAAGAGGGTAGCACACAACATAATGATTAAAAGCAGGCGGGTCTGAAACCTGCTTTGTGTGCGCATGAATGCTAGCTGTCACTACATGACTTTGGGTAAGTTACTCAGTAAGCCCTCTATGACTCAGTTTCCTCGCCATGAACTGAAAATAGGGGTATATATGTTATAGATATCTCATGAGTATGAAATGAGTTATGGTATGTAAACCACTTAAAACCCAATATAGGACCCCCACAAAGGTTAGTTATTATCCTTTAGACTGGGATTTGAGAGGATGAATAGTATTTAGACATGTCAAGATGAGTCACAATTAAATAGTTGAAGGAACACAGATAAAAAAATTAAGCCATAAAAGTCACAGGGGCCAGCGCTGTGGTATATTGGGTGAAGCCAGCGCCTGTGGTGCCAGCATCCCATATGGGCACTGGTTCGTGTCCCAGCTGCTCCACTTCTGATCCAACTCTCTGCTATGGGAAAGCAATAGAAGATAGCCCTAGTGCTTGGGCTCCTGCGCCCATGTGGGAGACCAGGAGGAAGCTCCTGGCTCCTGACTTTGGATCAGTGCAGCTCCAGCTGTTGTGGCCATCTGAGAAGTGAACCAGCGGATGGAAGATTCTCTCTCTCTCTCTGTCTTCATGCAGATTTCTTCTACGACCTTTTTTTTTTTTAATCTTTACTTAAAGTCTCAGGGTTAGGAGGCCTCCCTAGGTAGGACTCTAGACGAGAAATCTATGAATGGTAGATCGATCAATTTACAATTTTTAAAAAATACATTTCGAACATCATATATAACACTAAAATTTTGCTAAATTGACCATCAGATAATTCTAAGTATTAACTGCTTACTTGATTATTTTTAAAAGTATAGTTTGAACCCCAAAACAAAAAAATTCCCACAAGAAAACATATAGAAAAAACTTGGTGACATTAAATTTGGCAATGATTTCATGACTGACACCAAAAGCAGAGGAAACAAAAGCCAAAATAGACAAATGAGACTGCATCAAACTTCAAAGTGACTGCTCATCAAAGGAAACAACCAAGAGTAAAAGGTAACCTACGGAGTAGAAGAAAATAATTGCAAATCATTTATCTGATAAGAGGTTAATGTTCAGAGTAACAGCTTCATGGGGTTGGGAAAGAGCAAGGAGGCCAGTGTAGTTTGAGGAGCATGAGCTAGGGAAAGAGGAACAGATGAAATCAAAGAAGGAGTGAAGGGTAGGGCACTAACTTTCTGGGCAGTCCTATAGACTGGTTTTTTGGCAAGTGAAATGGGGAAGCCATGGGAGTGTGCTGAGCAGAGCAGTGACACTATCTTTTTTAAATTTTTAACTATTTATTTGAAAGGCAGAGATACAGAGAGAGGAAGGGTTGGGGGGAGAGAGAGAGAGGAATCTTTCATCTGCTAGTTCACTTCCCAAATGGCCATAACAGCTGGAGCTGGGCCAGGCCAAAGCCAGGAGCCAGAAGCTTCTTTTGGGTCTTCCACATGGGTGCAGGGGCCCAAGCACTTGGGTTATCCTTTGCTGCCTTCCCAGGGTACATTAGCAGGGAGCTGGATCAGAAATGGAGCAGTCAGGAGGTCTCAAACCAGCCTCTATATAGGATGCTGGCACTGCAGCTGGAGGCTTCGTCTACACCACAGTGCCAGCCCCAGTGACACTATCTTATGACAGATCAGATGATGCTGTCAGAGACCCAGTGTAGCAATGGAGGTGTGAGGAGTGGTCAGATTCTAAGTGCATTGTGAAGGCCAGTGGGGATTTCTAATGGATTGAATGAGAAGTATGAGAAAAAGATAAGAGTAAAGAATGATCATGGGGCTGGTGCTGTGGCGCAGTGGGTAAACACCCTGGCCTGAAGCGCTGGCATCCCAAATGGGCGCCAGTTCGAGTCCTGGCTATTACTCTTCTGATCCAGCTCTCTGCTGTGGCCTGGGAAGGCAGTGGAGGATGGCCCAAGTCCTTGGGCCCCTGCACCCACGTGAGAGACCCGGAAGAAGCTCCTGGCTTCGGATCAGCGCAGCTCCGGCCATTGTAGCCATCTGGGGAGTGAACCATCGGATGGAAGACCTCTCTCTCTCTCTCTCTCTCTCTGCCTCTCCTCTTTCTGTGTATCTTTTTCAAATAAATAAATAAATCTTAAAAAAAAAAAAGAAGAATGATCATGAGGATGGGTCTTTGGTTAAGATGCTGCTTGAGATGCATACATCCCATGTCACAGTGCCTGGGTTTTAAGTCCTGGATCCAGTGCAATTCCAGCTTCCTGCTACTGCTACCCTGGAGGACAACAAGTGATAGGTCCCTGCCACCCATGTGGGAGACCCAGATGGAGTTTCATGGTCCTGGTTTTGGCCTGGCCCAGTCCCAGCTACTGTGGGGAACTGGGGAGTGAGCCAGCTGATGAAAGATGTCTATCTGTCTTTCAAATAAATAAACATTAAATAAATTTTAATTAAAAAATAAATAAGTTTTTTTGGACCAAGCAGCTGTTGGGAGGGTTATTGTATACTAAGGTAGGAGTCTGAGTTGCTGTGATGATACTCACCAATACTTACATGGGTACTGTTGATCTTCATTTCTCTTGAATGGTATGACCAATGTACTGGATAGTTTGTCCACAGTGTTTTCTGCATAAATGTTTTTAATTTGAAATAGAATGTCTGCTATCATATAATTAAGTTTAATATGGAAATTTAAAATAAATTCATCCAAATGTATAGAAAGAATGTGACCACTTATTACTCATACCATTTAAAGATGCAATATTCAGGGTTTTTAAAAAACAATTTTATTAGGCCGGCACCGAGGCTCACTAGGCTAATCATCCGCCTTGCGGCGCTGGCACACTGGGTTCTAGTCCCGGTTGGGGTGCCGGATTCTGTCCCAGTTGCCCCTCTTCCAGGCCAGCTCTCTGCTGTGGCCCGGGAGTGCAGTGGAGGATGGCCCAAGTGCTTGGGCCCTGCACCCCATGGGAGACCAGGAGAAGCACCTGGCTCCTGCCATCGGATCAGCGCGGTGCGCCGGCCACAGCGTGCCAGCCGCGGCGGCCATTGGAGGGTGAACCAACGGCAAAGGAAGACCTTTCTCTCTGTCTCTCTCTCTCTCACTGTCCACTCTGCCTGTCAAAAAACAATTTTATTATTTAAAAGTTTCTACTTCATATCAATTAAGATTTTAAAATCCCGGTGCTACTGTGTTTGTTAACTAATCATTTTCATTCATCACTCCTCCTTAGTAGTCAATAACGACCTTTCTGTAGCATCTCAACATGCAGTGAATCTATTGATTTCATTGGTTATTATACCTCCCTCCCTGCCTCTCGCCACAAATTACTCTGAGTCAGAAAAGCTGATGAGATAATAAGGTGATATATAGACTGTCCTTTTCTATTCCTATTAAAAAGTTCATTTATTTTCTTTCTTTATGTAACTAGAATGTGATAGAAGCAAATCTCAGAATCAGCTACAGTGTAAGCTCTATGTCCATTCAAATCCTTTGTACTTTAAAACCAAATATTTTGGGGCTGACACTATGACTCAGCAAGTTGAGCCACAGCCGACAGTGGCAGCATCCCATGTGGGCACCAGTTCAAGTTCCAGCTGCTCCACTTCTGATCCAGATCCCTGCTGATGTACCTGGGAAAGCAGCAGAGGATGGCCCAAGTCCTTGAGCCCCTGCACCCATGTGGGAGACCTGGAAGAAGCTCCTGGCTCCTGGCTTTGGAGCAGCCCAGCTCCGGCTGCTGATGCCATTTGGGGAGTGGACCAGTGAATGGAAGACCTTTCTCTCTCTCTGCCCCTCTGTAACTCTGTCTCTCAAATAATCTTTAAAAAACAAAATTTTGGCTCGCTATACCCTGTTAAGCACAGGAAGCAATGCTTACCATGATTCATGTTTTCTAAAAAGCATATTACAGAAGATATTCAAATTCATGTCATGTACAGAGCAATTATGTCTTTAAAAAATATATTTGTTTATTTGAAAGGCAGAGCATCAGAGAGAGAAGATGTTGGTGGTGGAGGGGGGAGGAAGGGGGAGAATATTCTCTGTTGGCTCACTCTCCAAATGGCTACAATAGCCAAGGCTGGGCCAGATCAAAGCCAGGAGCCAGGAACTCCATGCAGGTCTCTCACATTGGTGACAGGCACCCAAGTACATGGGTCATCTTCCCCTGCTTCTCATGTACATTAGCAGGGAGCCAGAGCAGATGCTGAGTAGCTGAAACTAGAACCAGGCACTAGGAGTGGATGCCAGTGCTGCAAGCAGCAGCTTAACATACTGCGCCACAATGCTTGTACCAAAAGTAATTGTTTCTAACATTAATCCCAAAATGTGAAATATCCATGTTGGTTATTTTTTATGTTTCTAGTCTCTAATGTAGGGAACAAATTGACACTGTGTACTCATAAAGCCAAGTAATATCACCTTTTAAAGTCAAGATTTCTGACAGCAGTAGAAAGTAGCATGCGTGTTAATGCTTCAGCTATCTCTGACCTTGCAGTGGCCATTTTGTCTGAGGTGTTTCGGGGTTACATCGTGTTGCCTCCAAGCAACTGCATGGATCCAAATCACGTGCCTGGGTTTCCCTGGTGCGGGGTGCAGACAGCTCCACTTCCATGGACAGGAGCCAGCAAAGAGGAGAGCTGGAACACAGGGAAAGTTGGAGTTGTATATCAAAGAGCATTAACTCTCCTAGGTGTGTGTGGAGGGCAGTTGGTAGAGGGAGGCATAGGGCCAGTGAATAGGGAAAATGTTAATGAGTTTTCTAACACTGCCCCCCCCACATCAAAAGCATCACAATTTACATTTTTATTTGAAATATTCTGATTTTTAATTAAATATTGTGCCCTGCTTTAGATTCTGCTTTCCAGGTTTTGGCAATTGGACCCTAGTATTCCACCGGAGACCCCGTGCCATTTGTGAGATCCTATTACTGGTTTTTCTCTCACTTCAGTGCCTCTAAACCAGCTGGAAAGTGAGTCATTATTTACAGGGCACCTCAGTGAAATCAACAGGAGACTGAAACAAGACTGTGCCACTGATAGGTTCAAGTTCTTTTTCAAACCTCATTGCCAGGGCTTGCAGATAATGCAGTTGTAAAAACAATTTGTCAAATGTGATCTGAAACCCTATAGGGGGTTTTCCAGCAGATGAATTCTGTTAATGCTTTTGCTGAGTTGATCACAAGATGCCAGCCTGCGTCTCTAAACTGCTTGTTCTTATGTGCTTCAGCTGCAGTCACTAATTAAATCCCCTGAGTTAGCCCCGACACCTACCACCTGGGACTCGTCTCCAGACAAAGGCTTTCTTGTGGCATACAGCTGAGCCAGGTCTGGACCCTTCTGTTTCATGTCAGAATAAATATTTTAGCTCTGAGACTTTTCGTCTAAGTGGTTTCGGTGGTTGTCTTGGTTTGCTTTAATTCCTCAGTACAAATCAGTTTACCAAGCTAGCTGTTGTTTGGACTGGCTAATTAAAACCAGCGTGTTCAGTGTGCGTGCAGGCAGCCTCCAAGCCAAATACAGCCCCATACAGAACTTGAATCATAACATGGCATTTTTATTCATTGGAACAGATGGGCATTGGGAGTTACCCTCAGCCAGTCTGACCTCAGTGGTTGCTTTAAATTGCATGTCCTTGTGAAAATGTGAAAAGTAGGAAGTGTCTAGAAGTCCCAGTTTTTTGGGTGTCCTATAAAAGAAAGATGCCTATTTCTGAAAACAGACCTATTGACAATTTCATAGGTGGCAAGGTCACTTGGAGATAGGCCTATAGCATATGGTTTATAGCATTTGGCCCTTGAGTCACTTGGAAATTAGCTATTTATAAGGTTACATGCAATGTGGATAACTAGCTAGGGAACTGTTGCCAACACTAACATTCCTTTGAGTGGAGGCCCTCTGTGCAGCCGGTAAAAAACAAATATTGCTTCAGGTAGTTAATGGAAACAGGCTTTGATCTCCATCTGTATCACACATTTATTCATTTGTGCAGTATTGTGTGGTGCTGTTTCAAAGGAGAGGCCCATCATAGTCTCCTGAGGAACTCACAGTTTTGTAGATGAAATAGAAACACAAATAACTGTACTTCAATGTGATCAATTGTCTCTCAAATAAGTGGGTGGATACTGATGCCCTAGCCAAAATCTGTAGTTCTGAAGAAGGCACAGGTTATGGAAGGAGTAGAGATGGAGGGGGATGGTAAATTGACTCTAAGGTGCTCATAGGGCATTCAGGTTCAAGGATCAAGTGGACAATTTAAATAGGGTTCACAAGACAGATGAGAGCCTGCTACTTGCAAGAAAATAGTATTTCATCATGTCCCTACTAGAAGGCAAGGCATGATACAAACAGGTTTTGACAGGAGACAGGGATAAACAAAATGTGAAGGGTAGAGACCATAAGGTAGGACACCAGGTTAGGGAAAAGTAAATTTTCAAGAGCAACTTTACTAATTCTCTATTTAATTTAGAGTGGGCTCTGATTATGGAAATATGTCTACTATTTGTAAATTTGGGAAATTAACCAGTGAATGAGTTTTTAAGAGACCAGCACTTGGTCATGGATTGGGTATTCATTTGGAAGATAATATTTTGTTTTCTGGTTTCTTATAAGGTGATAGCTGGAAGATTGTTTGAGCCAAATAGATTTCATCAGTTGTTTTCTTGTTATGCTTGTCTTGTTAGATCATGAAAGAGCCAACTTACAGTCTTTCAATTGGTATCTCTAGTTGGAAATGAGCAGATTTGTAAAATACGTCATTCTTTATAAAGTAGGACTGTGGATAGAGTTGGTTGGTAACTTTTGTTTTTACATGCGACTTCTTAGAAACACAGTTGAAGTTGGCTAGGGGTAAAATTCTCTCTCAAATTAAAAAAATAGCTATGAAATCAGTGCCATGATGAAATTTGAAAAGGAAAAGGTTGCTACAGAACACAAATAAATAGAAAATTACCAAAACTCCAAGGAGTTTGAGGTTAGATAGAAAAAAAAAAGACATTTTCCCATTTAGGCCAATTATGGAATCTGAGCATCTTTTTTTTAAAATTTTTTTAAACTTTTATTTAGTAAATATAATTTTCCAAAGTACAGCTTATGATTACAATGGCTTCCCCCCCATAACTTCCCTCCCACCTGCACCCCTCCCATCTCCCGCTCCCTCTCCCATTCCATTCACATTAAGATTCATTTTCAATTCTCTTTATATACAGAAGATCAATTTAGTATATAATAAGTAAAGATTTCATCAGTTTGCACCCACAGAGAACATAAAGTGTAAAATACTGTTTGAGTACTAGTTATAGCATTAATTCACACTGGACAACACATTAAGGACAGAGATCCCACATGAGGAGTAAGTGCACAGTGACTCCTGTTGTTGACTTAACAATTTGACACTCTTGTTTATGGCATCAGTAATCTCCCTAGGCTCTAGTCATGAGTTTCCAAGGCTATGGAAGCCTTCTGAGTTCACCAACTTCAATCTTATTTAGACAAGGTCATAGTCAAAGTGGAAGTTCTCTCCTCCCTTCAGAGAAAGGTACCTCCTTCTTTGATGACCTGTTCTTCCTACTGGGATCTCACTCACAGAGATCTTCCATTTAGGTCTTTTTTTTTTTCCCGGGTGTCTTGGCTTTCCATGCCTGTAATACTCTCATGGGCTCTTCAGCCAGATCCAAATGCCTTAAGGGCTGATTCTGAGGCCAGAGTGCTGTTTAGGACATCTGCCATTCTATGAGTCTGCTGTGTATCCCACTTCCCATGATGGATTGTTCTCTCCCTTTTTGATTGTATCAGCTAGTATTAGCAGACACTAGTCTTGTTTGTGTGATCCCTTTGACTCTTAGACCTATCAGTGTGATCAATTGTGAACTGAAATTGTTCACTTGGACAAGTGAGATGGCATTGGTGCATGCCACCTTGATGGGATTATATTGGAATGGTGGAATCTGAGCATCTTGATGCATCTGATTACGTTGATTGGCTCTTCAAGTTTTCCTTTCTCTTTCTCCCAAGACTTTCAAGTGTCTAGTACTAGCTGAACGAACTGCCTACACTTTGGTGCTTTATTGAAGGTCCACAATATACCATCTTCAAAAGTAAATGGTAATCTCAGAAGTAACTGCTCATTATGTCTACTGTATTACATTTTGCTAAGCCCAGAATTTTCCTAGGATGTTGAAAACATTTCAGTGGTCAAAGAAAAAGGGCAATGAGCTCATTTTAATTCTTTTCCATGTCCCCTCTGTCCGTGGTGCAAAGGTGCCGGCCTGTGTTTATAAGAATAAATGGGGGCTGGCACTGCGGCTCATTAGGCTAATCCTCCGCCTGCACTCTGGTTCTAGTCCCGGTTGGGGCACTGGTTCTGTCCTGGTTGCTCCTCTTCCAGGCCAGCTCTCTGCTGTGGCCCGGGAGTGCAGTGGAGGATGGCCCAAGTGCTTGGGCCCTGCACCCCATGGGAGACCAGGAAGAAGCACCTGGCTCCTGGCTTGGGATCGAAGCAGTGCGCCGGCCATATTTGACCATTTGGGGGGGTGAACCAATACAAAAGGAAGACCTTTCTGTCTCTCTCTCTCTCTGTCTAACTCTGCCTGTCAAAAAAAGAATAAATGGGATGCATCTATTTGGAGCCGTTACTGTCTGCTGCTAAGGGTTCCACCAGATATGCAAGAAAAAAGTGTCCTTCCACCTGCTGTCTGTCTCATTGTGGCAGCCAAGACTGAATAGGTGAAAACATGGAGAGAGAATTTTTGCAACTCAGGAATAATCATGTAAACGGTGAAGAGCCTGTTGTACTCCAACAAAGAACCCAAAATTTCACACCAGAAGTTTAAAAACAAAAAAAGAAGAAAGAGGGACTTACAGCCTGATTTTATTTAATTCATCTGTCAGTCCTTACAGAAACTGAACAGATTATAAAGCAAGTCAAATTTGCATTCAGACTGTACTTGAATGTGTTAGCCTCCTCATACATCACATGCTGGCGGCCACATTCTGTGCAGCTGCTCACCAGGGAGGGCCGTTTTTATGAAAGAATTCTCTGTGGCAGATCAAATACAGGATTTGCATTTACACATAAAAGACCATAGCAAGTCAATTTTAAAGGGAGCTCTTTTCATTTTACAAGTAAATTGACTTTAAATAAGAGTATTTCAGGTAGAAACCTTCAAATGTTTTGTGTTTATTTAACAGTAATAGTTATCACATGATTTTCAAATCTTTTCTAATCTTCCTGTTAACATGAAAAGTAGCATAGATATTTTTCTAAATAGAAATCCCATATTGCTTTTGGATTTTTTTAAAATCACAGTTTAAGATACTATATTATGTGAAATGTCAAATTACAGTTGATGACAAAGAACATCTAATTACTTCAGAGTTAGATTTAATTAGCATTTTAATGAATTTCAACCTGTGTCTTTTTAATATTTATGTGAAAGGTAGAGTTACAGAGAAAGGAAGAGAGAGAGGGAGAGAGGGAGGGACAAAGAAAGGGGGGGGGGCGGAGAGAGAGAGAGAGAGAGAGAGAAAGAGAGAAATATCTTCCATTCACTGTTTCATTCCTAAATGGCAACAATGGCCAAGGTTGGGCCAGGCTAAAGCCAGGAGCCTGGAACTCCATCCGGGTCTCCCACATTTGTGGC